TATTTAAGTATTCAATTATACTGAAGGTATTCAAGTACTTTAATACCTTCAGTATAATTGAATACTTGAATACCTTCAGTGCTCGAAACACGCCCTGATGATGACTCACTTGTTTGGGTTGAAACGTTGACACCAATAAACATTTTAAAATGAATGCGTCCTGAATATTTATTACCCATGATTAAAGTTCTCTGAGATATAAAATCACTTCTTGAGTTGATGAGAGAATATTTTTTCTTCAACAATTACGATCAGGATCAAAATAAATAATTACTTTAAATTTAGGGTGTCTACAAGAATTGTAAGAAAACATTTTTTTGCCTAACTATTAAAAAAAAAAAATACTATCTATTTATTGAGTAACTTTATATTTAATTTTTTTCTGCCATAAATTATTGGACAATTTCCTCACTTTCTGATGAGTTAGATGATAATACTTCATTTATGTAGAAAAATGAAATTTTCTTAATTTTCCTACTTTATGCACTTTGAAAATAACACTTAATACATAATCACTTGATTATGGCTGTAAAAATGTAAGGTTATAATGGTGGATCTTTCCACAAAAAGTTCCAAACATCAACAATTATGGTATAAATATCTTCAATAATGTCACTTTTGATATTTAATTTTTAAAAAATAGGTATGTATACTTTGAATGTTTAGACAAGACCATCACCTGCTCTTACATTTTTCAACCATCCCTACTCTCCCTGACAGCCAAGGTCCCCAAATATTTTGATATTTTTTATTCCATATTTTATTTATTTTTTATTTCATAATTTAATAACTGGGAAGTTTCTATTTAATTAAGGCACTTGAACATACGAATTATTGGGTTAAGTTAAAACTACAACTACCTCATTTGAAAGAAGTAAAATTAGATATCAATCAATACCAGATACCAGCAAAATATATATTAAAATTTCTAATGACTATTACATATATAATAAATTAATGCTTCATTTTAGAAACTACATTGAAGACTTAAACTATAGGTAAGGTCTTTAAGTGACTAGAAACATAAATACAATATAAGTAATTTATCTCTTTAAAGCTAATAATACCCTGCTCCATTCCTAAAAGCTGTCATCAAACACAGATTCAAAAATATATCCATAAATAAAAAATTGCAATAAAAGCTTAAATAAATTTTTATTAAGGTAGCTTTAATTTATATTATCATATTTTTAATATAAGTGAGCAAGTCATTTTTTAAAATCCAAGCTTGTTATCGATGATGATTTTAAAGTACTATTAATACTACACAGTCATCAAGCAGTCCAGCAGTCTAACAAATGGTTTAGTAGGGAAAGCAAAATCTGTCCTCGATTTAATTATTGACCTAGCGGAATTCTCAGGAGAAAACATGTTAATAATTTGATAAAAAGTGGTCATACTGTGAATTAAAAGATCCAACTGGCATGTGCCGAGGAAGAGGTTTCACAACCCTCATTATAATAATATATAACATTAAACCATTAATAGACAACTGACCGATAAAAAACTATCTCATCAGAATCATTTCATTCTTGAGACATTATTCAGATTCATCATTCATAAAATAATTACTACTAGCTAAAGGTAACTTTATAATCAAAATATAAATTATTTAGACCTTACCTATAGTGCCAACAACACCAAGAACGTGACTATAAACACTTATACAAAACAATCTTAGAATCTATAATAAAATAAATATAGTAAATTGGTAACTAGTAATTACTAAAAAATATACCAAAACTTTAATAAGATAGAAATACTGATACAACTGTGGCCAGTCTTAGTTAAGAAACTATTAACAAATATATTAAACAGTCATAAATAAATCATCTACTTTTTACAATAAACATATATATATAGTATAGAAATATTATAATATAAATATATTTCTAATAAATCAGCTAATCATAAAATGAAAAATAATTCTTAAAAGAAGTACATCAATACATAAGAAAATTTTATAAATAACAAAATTAACAACTTTAGTATAATCAATGAAATTTTGACTAGAGAAAAATATGAGAACATTAATAATTTAAAAGTTACAAAAGAAAAGAGGTATACAAATTTTAATTAACTAGTGGTTTGTTTAAGAAAAATGCTAGTCATATTAATAGAAAAAAATATTAAATTATTAATACCAGTTTAAACTGCATTTTCATTTATTTTTTATTCATGGATTTACTTCAGCCTTCTAGAAACTGATATGATATTCAAGTAATTCTAGCTTTAATTTCAAACTATTCAAACAGAAATGAAAAAATAAACACCACAACACATAAAAAACAAAGGAGGCAGTGGTCTGCCTAATGAACCACTTTTTTAATGGTTTTACGAGATCATGTGATCAGCACTGGACTTTTATTGCCGGATTAAGCTCTGACCAGCGTCTAGTGACTCAGAAATGGATCAAACTACAGTAACAATCCTGACGATGCCTACTCATTTTCATCAAGAGAAATTTATTATACATCAGGATATGAACATAGGAAGTCTACACTCTTAATAAATAGGATATTTTAAATCGATCAGGTACAAGTATGGGATTTCTAAAATGTGAATTTCAGATAATTTTTTGGACCCTTTCCAGTCCTTCAAAAAAGTAAGATAGAAGTCAGCAGGTCATTTAAAAATAGAATTAGTGTAATTGGGGGCATGGTGGCTGAACAAATCCTGGGATTCTGGGGGGAACGAGAGTGCAAGAGGGACTCTCAACTCAAGTATAATTCCCCCGCCCTCTCCCCGGCTCAGGAAAAACCCTGTATAGCCTGAAGGACGAGGAAAGGGAGAAAAGAAAAAGAAATATTGTAATTTTTAAGCAAAATTTACACTAGTATAACATGCAATAGGCACAACCACCCAAACATTATTTTAAAAAACACACGTTATTCTTAATGATATTAGAAGATCTGGAGAGCCTTAAATATTTCTTGATAAACAGAATTATTAAATAAACTGTAATAGAGATAAAAGTAGGGATCAATCAACACTGATAGAAATATCAAAAGGCCAGAATAAAATTTGCTAATGAATCTTGAGGGTCATTTGTAACAATAAATAAATAAATACCAGAAGGTGACATTATTTTCCATTTTTATCTTAATGGGAAAATTTTTTAAATAAAAGAACAAAATATATATATTTGTTTCTTAGAAAAATTGAGGTAATGTTTAAGATTCCTGGAACAATGGAATCAGTTAATTGTCACCACTAAACAGATACATTTAATATTTTAAAAATATACTAAAAGATTTAATAATACCACATATAATATATGTCTAATATGTAATTTAATGTGAACCAAGCTATAGGCATGACATAAAATTAGTTTATAGCTGACTTCAGTACAGAGGTAGGGATGCAAACCCCAATTCAGGCCCATTATCGGAGACCAAAGCCTTCACGGCAATAGCAATGACAATGGAGAGAGATGTATCAGTCTGGCAGCAGCTAAATGTCTAGTCATCAGCAGTACGATGTTCCAACGCAAGGATATCCACAAGTACACCTGGGTTAGCCCCAAAGGAGCGAAAAAACAAATTGATCATGTGCTGACACTCAATACAAGATGTAAGAAGCTATAATGGAGCAGATTGTAATTTGCATCACTCTCTACTACTACTATGTCAGAGATTGAAGCGAATTCACAAAACAGGGGATCGAGAAAAATAAATTTAAACCCTTAGATTCAGATAGCCACACGGTAGACCAACACTGGGAGAAAATAGAGAAAGGACTAAAAGAAACAGCTAAGGAAGTGATTGGTATTTGGGAGAAACGAAAAGCTAAGATGTGGTTCACAGAAGCATGCAAAAAGGCAAAAGAGGAAAGAAGAAAAACGAAAGTTCTCGGCCGAGGTACAACTGATCAAGTTGCTCTGGACAAGGACACAGCTGCCAAGAAAAAGGCAAACAAAACTATAAGATCGGCAAAAAGGAAATTCATCAAAGAAAGATTGTAAACCATTGAGGACAACTGGCAGGCTGGAGATATATACTAATTCTACGCAGACATTAGGAAAGAAAGTTAGTAAGAAAGTAATGCCGATAGGAAAAAATAAATCAATTTATGAATTTAATATGCAAGGAAAAATTAGTATTGCTGACACAGAACACAATTGAACTGATATTGGCTAAAATATCTATATTGGTCATCCTTAATTATACATATGAATTCTTAGGGGAAATGTAAAAGTAACTCTAAACCGATGTCAAACTAAATAAAAATTTTGTATTTAATATAAAAAAAAACAACTAGTTTTTGTAAATATTAGCTAATGCAACATAGACAATAACCTCTAAATGTATTCTCAGAAAAATTTAAAAAAAAAAAAAAGCCATGACCAGTAATCTTTTGAACACTAAACAATAATAATTTAACTAACCCATATTCTTCAGCATCACTGATACTATTATCGCTAAATATTAGAGTACTAGTTTCTACAGGGATTTGAGAAGAAAATTATATAGTCAACACAAATCTATTAACTATAGCTCGTATATTAATTGTGCTGCAAAATTTTAAAAATAAATAGGTGCAAGGCTACTACAATTTGTATTTGCAACTCTAAACCTCAAAAACTAAAATGTACAGGTCCTTAGCTAATTGGACCAATGTATAATTTGTTGGATAAGATATCAGTTTACGAATATTTTAAGTTATTCTCTGAAGGCTGTACTACTATACTTATAAAAATATTTTAAAAATTTATTATGCTCAATAATATACAATGTAAAATAAATCATCAGAATAATATTGAACCAGCAATGATAACGAAGGTTTGTAAAAAGTAAAATAAATAATGTCACTTTAAAAAATGTAGAAATTATATATGAAATTATTTCAGTATCTAGAAGGCATTTTAAATAAGGCTTAGTCAGTTATTAGACACATCAATATAAGCATTATATGTACTATATTTTCATATTTATTAAATCTTAATTATAACATTATACATAAAAAACAGTTCAATAAATTTTAAAACAGTTATCAGTAAAAAAATTGTTCAGTAAAAGACATTTTAATAAAATAGTGTTGTTAGGTGTTTTGTTCAGCTATCATGACTTTCACAAGTTACAAAGAACAAGGAGGATGTTGGCACAAACTTCATTAAAAAGTATGGCAGAGACTACCTGAAATATTTGAGGCCAGCAACGATGAGGAATTTTTCAATGAAGAGCTCTGAATCTAAGACTGCGATGTGAGCCGCTCGGCCAATGAGAGAATTGGCAGTCGAAGGCAGGGCGTGATGAACGTCGTAGCGAACCAGAGTCACATCACGCTTCCTCACCAGTGGCCACATGATATTCTGTACCATTTCCCGGTAAGCACTTCCTAGATCACGAAAGATATCATAAAATCATAAAAAGCATTGGCTTTTAGATAAAATAAAAGATCTAAAAGTCACTTAAAATAAAACCCAAATCTTTTAACTTTATTATGAAAATGCTTTTACATAAAATAATTTTTTAAATAAGTATAGTTCTAAAAAACATACAAACCTATTGGAGAAGTATCTTTTACTGCAGCTTTGCATAATTCTATCCTCGCAGAATGTAGAGGGACATAACGGTCTTGAGAAGAACCACATAACAAAACATGCCTGTAAAAATAAGAAAATGCATACTAAAAAGCTATATAATAAATGGAAAAAAAAAAAGGAACCAAATTGACTTTAGAAGAAGCAACAACTAAAAAACTATAAACAAATAAAAAACATGAACTTATTTTTGGATATGATAAAAAATTCCAAAAACAAAATTTTAAGCACCAGTAGAGCAAAATTTTAAGCAAGTCATTATAGAGAAGAAACACAATCAAATAAATAAAATTCATTGGGCATTGGCGTAATGTTGGCTTGTTAAAGAGTATTACAGTTTTGTCGCTGAGATATTTCAATTATATACTAACAATATATTATTTATTAACTCCATCATGGTTAAACATTCCAAAAATATTTGGTAAATACTAATATTGCAATTTAAAAAAATAAAACATGAGCACCTACTTAAAATAGGTAAGGTTGCAACGCTGGGACAGCCGATACAGGAAGGTATCCCTGACGTCGGGAGCATCCCTTAAAGACAACTGCAGCAGCGAACCAGACTTCTTCCACTTCTGCATAAACCACATTCCTGCAGAGTAAATAAATAGAGAAATTTAAAAACAGATTTTCCGAATATGTATTAATGTTTAAAAATATCATTGGAAACCATTAAGATTTATCAAACTACTAAATAAAAACACAATACTTAAGTGGTTTAATATCAAAGATACACATCTATAATTTATAAATAGTTGTTGTTTCAGAAAAAGCTTTAATTTATAGTAATCCCTAGCATTCATGAAGTGTTTGATAGTTGAAAATAATTTCTTAGTACTATCAAAACCAAAGTTTAAAAGAGGTGGATAGGAGCATGAAACAAAAAACAAAAATAGCCCACAAAAAAAATATTACTGCAAAATCAACTATATCAATCCATGAGAAGGAGTTGATCGGGAGGTGCGGTCAAATTAATACTAAATTAAATAAGTAGAATTATTTAATTTAGTATTAATTTCACTGCACCCCCCGATCAACTCCTCATATTATATCAACGGTCAACCATCTCTACATCATTATATCAATCCATCATTAAAAATCTCGTGCATGCAACACACAACTTTCATTTACCGCTCTCCTTGAATATAAATTATTTTCTGGCAATGTTGGGCCATTAAACAATTTTTGAAATGCATTTTTAATACTGAGCTACAGCTTAAAGCTTACAGTTAACAAATCATTAATACCATTAAAATAACAAAAATCCTGTATATTATATCGATGGTTGATTATGGATTGTACGACTATTAATTGTTGAAGTGTTTATTCATATTGCAAAGTTAACTAAAATGGAACTACGAAATTTTCATTGCCCATCATAGATAGATCAAAAGCTGTCACACTAATGGTAACTGGATTCTGTTGAGATATCACAAAGGGAAAATCCATCAAATTATTCACTAATTTAATTTTCTAAACCTCTCACATGAGAGCGGCAAAGCATGGTCAGGGTTTCCCAGGCGGAATGTAAATATTGTAAATAGGAATGGGTGTGCCAAGTATTTTTTTCTTCTTATTATTATTATTATCCTTTTAATGTATTTTATTTTTTATTTTTACAAGTATATTATGTTTGTATATAATAGTATGAGTAGTAGAGCTTTAATGCCCAATGACCTTGATTGTGGCAGGTTGTATTATTATTATTATTCCAATAAAAAGATTATTAAAAAAAAATTAAGCATTTACATTTAGTTAGAAAATTCCATTTAATTTCCTTGAAAACATGTGATTTCAATTAATAATTTTCAGAAATTATTATATATATATTTTTTTTATCACTCTCTGTTACCTTCTACAACTTAATTTATTAGATATTATTTTTTCTGAAATTCTCTGCTTTCCAACAATATATTATACGTATACCTTCTGACTATTATTTCCGGAGATTCATTTTCTACCTGGCTAAATATTTTTTTTTTATCTCCTTTATTCAGTTATCAAATTCTTTCAAAAGTTACATTTAGCCATTTTTATAGTTACTGTCAATAAGAGAATTATTTTTTAAAAATGACCAAAATTAACATGTTAGCTGCAGTTACGGTCCTTGAGGTCCGATATTTGTCTCGACTACCAAACGGCCGGGATTGTTTTGAATTTTGTCTATCTTACGAAGTCTCTAAAATGGTAATTTTTAAAAATATTTGAAAGGGAGTTAGATAGATGTAAAGATATGATTATAAATAATCATTAGATCTGATAAAAAGTTTTCGAACCTCTGGGACCGATACCGCACCAGACTGATCAAAAATGATTTCCCTACAGTATTACCCCTCAGTGTCCGATACATATTCCTGCGATGGCATTCGTCATCTTTGATCTTCTGTCTAGCAGTAGCTCTAGAGAGCTCATCTTAGACTGTTCTACTTGCTTATTTAACATGTATAAATAAATAAAACTGATGCATATCTCCGGCATCCAATGCTGTTATGAACTTCATAACTTGTGTCGGTCACCCGGATATCGTCGGGAAAGATATTTAAGAGATATCATGCTCAGCAGCTAACGTGAAAAAGGTACTTTAGAAGAAGACATACATGAACATTGGGCATTTAAGCCCTGTAAAGTAGCATCAATGTGGATAAGATCTAGCTTAAAAACAATAATACACTGATATACTGAGTTTAATCAAAATCGTTAAGAGCTATTTTTGAGAAAATTGTAAAAATGTGTATCATCAGAACTGTATACAAATCTTAAATACACAATTTAAGTTTTGTACAACTTTTCGTTTTTGAAATAAACTATTCACACATATCCTATACACTAATCTAAGCTCTAGACACCCACACCATTTTGCGAGACTTGGTTATTTGGTTAAATCGAGACCATGATGAGCTGGTTGAACTTCAATAGAAATAACGACAATCACAAATAAGACTTTTTTTATGAACTCAGAGTAAGACATAAAAATTAATTTAAATGTATTGAAAATTAAACGAAATATAAGTAACGGCAGTATGTGTCATGCCAGTACCATTTGGAATTGACCAAACAATATAGCATAAATTAACTTTTTGAATAAAAGCTAAAATTTTATAAACCCATAAAAAAATTGTATTAACCTAACTCTCACTCCATACGATCAATGCCTTCCACATTTCACAGCTGTTATATTTTTAACAATTATTTATATTATTAAATGGAATTCGATGAAATTAATAATAGGTAATTTCCAAACTATTCTCCAATTTTGGGTCAAATCGAAGAAACCGTTTTAAAACTACCTAGTTATGTCATAAATATTGTTACAAGAAAATATATACAGATTTCAACAGAAAAACAATTTTTTCTAAAACTTTATTAGAAAATAAACTGTTTATCTACAGAGAGAAAAACAAAAACGAAATTACTCAAATTATCCCCCCTTTGCCTTGACACAGGCATTTAATCTCCACGGCCAGTCATCAACAGTAGCACGCAGCACTTCTTGAGGAAAACGTTCAACTGTTTTGACCAGAGATTGTTTGAGGCTTTCCAAGTTAGGGTGTGCTCTGTGGCATGCCATCTTCTCCAGTTCGGACCAAAGCCGATAATCTAGGACAATCCGGGCAGAGATGAAATCTGGGATGTTCTTTTGCAGCTACTGAGTTGACCTTGTGAGCTGAAGTAGAATCCTGCTGAAAAACCCAATGACTTCCAGCAAACAGTATCATTTAGAGGCTTGACAACAGGTTCCAAAATATCTTGCTGATAGTTTTTAGCGGATGTTTTAACTCTTTTTTCACTAAAATGGAGCTCTGTGGTGCCATCAAAACAAACTCCCCACCAAACCATCACTGAGGAGGGATGATGACCTCTTTCCACTCTTCCAACGACTTCCTGAGCATCTTTAGAGCAGTGTACACGATCATTTTGGCGATTAAATTGTCTTCAATCATAAAAAATGTTCTCATCGATAAACAAAATCTTTCGATGAAGACCATTAGTGTAACGGCCAAGAGTACTTTGCATCTATCCACTCTAATTTGTTTTAGCCAAGTGTTTAGCCTTTTTCCGGTCATTCTTCGAAATGCACCCATCCTAAGGTCACTTTTTATTAAGCGAGACATTGATCTGACAGAGATTCCCATTTCCTGAGACATGATTTGTTGTTTTCGAATGAGATTTCTTCTGATTCGAGCAGCCACTACTCTCACTGCATTTCCCATTCTCACAGTGCCTACTACTAGGCAATGTGACTGAAAAAAAATATAAAAATCTACACTGACAGTCAAGCCGTAAGAGGTGATCTAAATAATCACTATACATACTTAAAGGTTGTTAAAGAGTGCAGTATAGCGCTTAAAACAATCTGGCTGAGCTTAATAGAGTTGCAATTGAGTGGATGCCTGGACATTTGGGCATCCTCGGCAATCAAGTGGCAGCCAATCTAGCCAGGTTAGGCTCAAATACTATTCCCATAACTCCTGAACCTGTTTGTGGAATCAGTCTGAGTACTGCCAAAAAAAGGATTATGGAGTTATGCAGTGAAAAATTCAAACAACACTGGACTGATAAGAAACGACACTCGAAGATGTTCTTTAAAGGTGCATGTGATAAAAGAAGCAAGCTGCTACTGAGTTTGGACATAGCAGCTCTCAAAAAACTTACAACAATCTATACTGGCCACCATAAGTTAAATTACCACATGTTCAGTCTCTGAGTGACCATGAACTATGCAGATTCTGTCAGGAGGAGAAGGAAACGGCCTTTCACATTGTTTGTTGATGTGATAGGTTTGCAAGGCTTAGACTAGAGCTGTTTGGGGAGGATCAAGTAGATTACCCAAGAAGCTATGAGTCTAACAATTCGATTAGCCTATTAAGAAACACAGAAGTGACTAAACTGACGTTTTAGGTATAAAACAGATGTTACACATGGCCCACAATAGATCCTCAAGTTCTTTAATTGTGGCTTGATGTTACAGAATTGAAATTTAATTTTAAAAAAAGACTTCCTGTATATTCCTTTATTTTTCACTTTTGTGAAACCGTTTTCAGTCTTTTATTAGACTTTCATCAGGCTAGGTAAAATAATAAAATTAACAACCATAAAAACTTTTTCAAATCATAATAAAACCTAATTCAAAATTTAACAATTTAAAATCCAATCACAATAAATTAATAAACAAAACTGGTAATCACCTAACTGGTGGTGGTCATCTTTTCCTGCTTGTCAAATGAGGACTAAAAAATAAAAATAAAACTATTGACCAGATGGGCTATCCCTAGCCCCACGTATTGTTTTCATTTGCCGCCAATAATTTTATGAGTGCAGAATCCTCAAATTGAGTACTTTGTACATTCAGGCATATTACTTCATTTTTTATAATTCTTTTCTTAATTTTTAATTTATCAAAAAAGTTCATTCTTTTCCGTTTTGAAATGGCATACAACAGTTTTATCTTGTTACTTTTTTTTGGGGTGTGAACAATTTAAAAGATAATCTTTAAAATGTGATGCATGGCCTGAACCAGGGAGGTGTTCTTTAATTCTGCTTTTTAGTTTTCTTCCCACCTGCCCGATATAAATGGCAGAACATGAACATTCTATCGAGTAAACCCCACTCTTATTTAAAGGATCAAGTTGATCTTTAGTCCTGGAGAACATGTTTTTTAAGCTTGTATAAGGTTTGAAGGCCACAATTTTTTTGTCTCTTTTAAAAATACTATTAATTTTATAAGTATCAGGACCTATATATGTAATTGTTCTGAAAGCATTAATATTATTATATTGTAGAATGTTATAAGTTGCATATTCAAATATAAGTTGCATATTTTTTCAATAATTTCTGTGGTTATTGCCATATTTGATTGCCTTTTCTTTGTTAATTTGGTTGAAGGATAAAGGTTTTTTTTTTTAACCTATTAGCTAACCAGTAAAAAGTGCTGAGTTTTTGTGATCAAGGGTGGCACGAGTTAAACGGTATTATTATGTCTGCATCCTTTCAGGCAAACTTCGAAATGCAAATATTGAGATTTTTAGTGAAAAGTGTCCATAAGAGATAGTTCTTCCATCCCATGCCAAATTGACACAAAATAAAATTTTAAATTTAACATTTTTTTATAACTAATATGAGATGAACTAAAAATTAATTATTTTTTTTTTTGGATGCTTACTCCTTTCTTCCTTAACATTGTTGAAATTTTTATAAAGAAACTTTAAGTCAACCAGATAAATCAAACAAACTTTAAGTAAACCAATTTTTTTAAAAGAATGTTTTAGAAGAATTATGAAAACAAAAACTCACTGGAATTGGTACAAATTAAAGACATAGACAAAACTTTGCTTTTTCAAAACTTACTGAAGATGTCAGCCATTGTTATGAAGCCACGAACTTATGTCTTAATTTTGTAATCTTATTAATACATACCCATGTTGACCAGGCCTGAATTGTTATAGAGGGTACCCAAGTGTGGCCCAGACAATGATAAAAAAGTATAGAGCCTCGGAAGTAAGTGCTTGAGTTGCGGGCGTCCGATGGCTGCCCTGATGATAATGTTACCGAGGGAGTGGCCAACAAACGACACTCTGCTGGGCATCACACCTCCGGCGCCTTCAATGTGGTACAGAATCTCCGCTACCAGGCGGTCTGTCATTGTATCAAAGTCAGAAAATGTATCACCCTGTAAATTTTAGAATAAATCCATAATGTTTTTCTTGAGAAATATCTAGGACTTAAGAATATTGAGGTTGAGGACACAATTAATCTTAATAAACTAACTATAGTGATACTTTAAATAATTAATTGTACAATACAACTATAAAATAAATTCTATGGCGACAAAGTAAAGATCATGTTAATATTTAGAAGACTTCCAATATTTAGTTTTGTGGATTTATGAATATTTTTATAAATTAACCAAAAGTTATATAAGTTAAAAAGACCTGACATGGTATCAAGTTACCTGATTTCCCTGAGACATTAAAAAATCCAGCCTAGCGCCCGGTAGGCCGAGCTCCAGGTAGGTCTTGACCAGCCTCAGGTCGGCCGAATTGCCATCGAGGCCGTGGACACAGACGATGAGGTGAACCCCTTCTGGGCTCAGGACTCTCTCGTCTTCCGGAATCTGGAAGTACGGCAGTGTCGACACCAACGTAGGTGCATCACTAGGGACAGGTAACAAATAAGAAACATATATAATACTTATATTAGAAGCTTATCTCCGGCTTTTATAGAAGAAGCTCATCTCTGGATTACAGATCAAATGCAGAAATAATAATTTATTTTTATTTACTATTTAATTTTCATGTATTTCCAATTGAATAAAATACAGTTTAAGTTGTAACTATTGGGTTGTCAGGAAAATAAACCAGGATTTTGATTTAAAAAGAAAAAATAAAGATTTAAAACTGTTTTATTGAATCAAAATAGCCTCCATTATTATCAATACATTGCTACCAACGTGTTGGCAACTTTCCATTCCCTCGGAGTAGAATTTCTCATCTTTAGAATTGATAAACTCCAAAAAACGCATTTTCTAATTTTCTTTGTCCATTAAATTTTTTGTAGGCGAGAGGTCGGAGAGTTGGGTGGATGTGGCAGAGTTCCATATCCAAGCTCCAACAGTTTTTGTGAAGTCACATGTGAGACATGTGGCCAGGTGTTGTCATATAACAAAATGGGCCCCTTCCGATTGAACAAAGATGGTTTCATTATTGCCAATTTCTGATGCATTGCATTAATATATTTATAATTCTTGTTGTTCCGAGTTAACGAGACCAATATTTTCTTTCAGTCAGAACTAAACTAATGTAAGCTGGAATATAAAAATATGGTTCAAGTTCACACAACTTTAATGATTAAGGAGGAAATCGAGACCACAACGAGCTGGTTGAACTTCAATAGAAACAAACAAAATCACAAATAAGACTTTTTTTTCTAACCAAAAAAAGTATAAGTTAATTAAAATTTACTGAAAATTACATTAAATCTAAGTGAAGGCAGTGAATCTCGTAAAGCCAGTAACGTTTGGAATCGACCAAATAATACATTATAAATTAACTTTTTGATTAAAACCTAAAATGTTATAAATTCATAAAAATATTGTATTAACCTAACCTCCATTACACATGATCAATACCTTCCACATTTCACATCCTTTATACTGTTAACAGTTATTTATATTAATTTTAATTATTAAATGAAATTGGTACTAGACAATTTCTGAACTATTCTCCTCATTTCCTCCAAGTCGAACAAGCCGTTTTTAAGCTATAGATGTTTCAAATCATACGTTTACTAATCCGGAAGTGAAAGTCTTTTTTTTTTTTTTTTTTAGAGTAGTTGATAAAATTGATATTTACTTAATTATCTGTAACCCAACTTCCCTCCAAATTTGGGTAAAATTGAACTAGCGGTTTTAAAGATATAGATGTATCAAGGAAAACGCGTTTGCGCATAAATGAAATAAAGTAGATGACAGAATTCAATTAAATCGATATAGAATCATTATTTTACCAAAACGAGCCTTTCTTTCAACTTTGAGCCAAATCGAATGAGCCGTTTCTGAAATATTGGCATATCTTTGATAATACATTTACGCGTGCAAAAGCAGAAGTGGTGGATCGAATTTAATAAAATTGATATGGGACCATCTATACACCAATCCACGCAATCCCTGAAAATCGGATGAAATGTAGTAGATGATATGTCAGTCACATTGATTTGACAACAGACAGATGCTGAACCAAATTTGATCCTTAATGTCTGAAACGCAAAACGTGAGTGGAAATTTTCGATTCTGAGCACAAATTTTTTTTTTAACCTCTCGCATGAACACAATGCTCCTCTACCTTCGGTATTGAGGAAGCAATAAAATTCTAAATTGCGCAAGGAAATATTTTTTTTTTAGAACAAATATTAGACCCAAAATATGTTCTACATGCCTTCGGGGTGTTTACTTAAAGATATTTTTTGGTGAAGAAGCTAATTTGTCTATTAGTTAGGTTGGTTATTTGAGGGCTGCCTGATTTTGAGGATGGTAGTGGTAGTCTAATGTAAAAGTAATATTATCAATAATTATTTATAAGACCGTAAACATTGAATTATAAATAGTTCCGATTTTAAGAATGTAGCTAATGTTGATAAAACATAAAAATGGTGGATAATGATAGTTAAAAGAAAGGAAAATTAAGAGCACAAATTTTTGTTTATATATAAAAAAAAAACATACCTGTATATCATTCCAGTAAAATTAATTTGTTTCTTAAATTCTTCTTTTGATTTATGAAAGGTGGTATCTTCCATATCTACACTAAGAACAAGGCGTTTCCCAGTTTCATAACATTCGCACATGTTCTCCTCTTGTTTGCCAGGACTCCTCTCGCTTGCTCTGTAACATTAACTGATGGTGAGAACTATCAGAACAGGAGTCGAAGTATCTCCAACAGTCAAGGATCTTTACCCACTATAAGGGCACGGATTTCATAGGTCAGTTAGTCTGTCTTTCGTTCAGTTTGAAGTTATTTCATTTTGTCAATCGGTTGTTCGTATTCAGTAAGAGTAAGTTTAATTAAGTTTGAAGAAGGTTCTTTGTGAAATAACTTAATTGTGAACATTTATCAGTGGTAATGTTACATTATGTGTAAATTAAGTTTAATTTAATTTACATATGTCTTGATTAGTATGTATTAAAAGGACTCCAGTTAGGATTTTAATTAAAAATAATAATTATATGATAATTAAATGTGAAAAATTAGTGATGATTAATAAATTTTAAAATTTATTTTAGATGTTATTTATCGAAATTGCCAGCAAAACGAAAGAATATTCAAATGTATTCCCAAAATCTAAATCAAATGTATCTAAATCACCAAAATCATGGTAATTTCACTATTTAAATACTTAACTATTTAAATTAGCTAACAGTAAACCTTAAATAATGAATGAAGTACTAAATAAGTATAATTAATGCAAGCACAATTATACTAAATATTAATTGCTAATAAATATTATATCAGATTAATTAATTTAAAGCATGTAAAGAATACCCACTCGGGAGCAGAAGGGTGCCTGTGCCTCTGCCTGACGCTCTCGTAGACGTGGTAGAGGAGGTTATCTATAGGTTGGACTCCCGGTTTCTCTTCCTCGGATGAGGCAGGGTTCAACGGAGGAGGTGGATCCCTAAAGGGCTCAGGAGGGGGAGGGTCTCGGAACTCTGAAGGAGGGGGAAGACGCACCTCTTCATAGGTGTGGTCTGTATTCCAATCATCCTCCTTCACGCCATTATCACTTCCTAAATAACAATTATTATAAATCAATAATACAATAAAATTGTAAATTTTCTTTTTTTTTTTAATTATTATTTCATTAATTATTGATTCATGACATATAGATGACCATTTTCAGATGTGCCCAGAATAATAATTCTTAATTAACACACTGACTGTAAACTACAACTGTGTTTTAACTTAAGTCTTAGCGACCTGTAGTTTGTCTACAAGTCATCACATAGTTTGTTAACATATCATATTTGAACAAGTATTATGAAATCTGAGATATTCATATGTAAATATGAAGGAGGGAGCCTGGATTACAAGTATAGAAAATTTATTGGTTATAATGAACCTGTCTGAGCACAGTAACCAAGTGCCAGAAGAATGAATTTTGATGGTTTGATTAAAAATGTGTACACATAAACTTTAACATATGTTTTTTTGCGTTTCAAGGAGTATGATAATTTAATTTTATTTTTATGATTGAAATTTTTAAAAACATTACTATCATACTTTTGCAATCACTTTATTTTGACATTTTGGATTCAGGATTTAAGCATTTTCAAATCCATAAGGATAATTACATACTATCCATCTATCTATGTAAAGTCACTTCCACTTGGTCTTATAAGTTTAATTGTCATTTCATCAAAAATAAAAATATACCATGAAAATTGAATCCTCCATTTCAATATGTTACCCCAATGCCTCAATTTTGAATGTATTGTAGAAGTATGAAGAATATGTTTTGAAAAATTTCAATTATAATAAAAATAAAATAATGTTAACATAAACCTTGTTCAAAAAAAGGAGTTTGATTCTCAGTTCAAATCATATTAGACACACAAGTATTTTTGTTAAAGTTAAATGTTATGACACAAATTCGGTAAGGAAAAAGAACCCAATAAAGAAGTGAAATTATAAAGTCAATTCATTTGGTAAAGTCTATATAATCTGCATTATTCTATTGAAATAGCCAATATCTTATTCCACTTTTCTTCATCTGCTTTTTAATATATATATATTTTTTAAACAATGAACATACTGAGGTATTTATTTCAACTTCTCATCATGTAATCAGTCTTATGGCCAGAATTAACCACCATTTTTATTTTTATTGTTATTCTTAAGGGACTTAGTCACAGAATAAATTTGTTGATTTTTCTATTAAATTGGCAGACCTGGAGGCGGACTGGATGAAGGGCTGGACCGATGGGAAGATACCCAACCAGAACGTTCTGACGTGATGTCTGAAGAAGACGAAGAAGACAGCGGACTAGAGGCGAGGTTTGGCATTGATCCGGTTGGCTGGGTTCGGCGATGTTCTACTTGCTGCTGCGTATCACTTAGTCGCTGAGGCACGCTGGCACTCGACTCCAGGCGCTGGTTACTGATGGACTCTTGAGGCTGCAGCTGGTTCTTATCACTGATTAGTCTATTACTTCCACTTTCTATAACAGTTAATATTAAACGGATTATAAGATCTGATTTAAACAAAAAAATTTTGTGGTGCTCATGCTGCACTAAATAAAATATGGTAACTCTTAAAATTAAATAAATAATTAAAATATACAGTCATAGAAGGAAATTGTTGGTGACAAAAAAGTATAAATTTAATTGTGCAATGTGCACACTGCATGGGCTTTTTATAAATTATTTACAATAACAACAATTAATTACCCACTCTATTAAATTTGATAAATCATTATCATTTCTTCAGATTATTAAAAATAAAATTAGATGGGCGATGTGAATAATTCGCAAAAAATATTTGTCAGTGAATAAATAAAAAAAAAGTATTTTAATTAAAAAAACGACTACAGAAATTGGGAAATTCTATCCACCCTAAGGGAATGTACTTCCATATCTACAGAAACATTTTGGTAAATTGATACGGAAATTGATATCTATGAATATTTAAACTTGCTGTAGGCGTCTGGTTCCTTTCACTATATATTATGGCGGCTCTAGGCAAATATATTCCGTCCCATGCTTCAGTGCATGTTTAACCCGAAAGAGTCTTGATGTGTGATAGCCAGTTGAGCACTACACCAAGTTTAAATATTCATAGATGACAATTTCCCAATCAATCTACCAACATGTTTCAGTAGATAATGAAGTACATCTCCTCAGTGGATAAAATTTCTTAATTTCTGTAGTCGGGTTTATTTTAAATTAAAATATTTTTTAAAATATAAACAATTCATTTTTATAACATATGATCATATGGTATCATTCAAATCAAATAATAATCGAGATACTTAAAACTATAATAATTTTGTTTCTCAGTATTTTGAGCTTAAATTGTTTCAAAACATTCACAAGATCTAACTGAGTAATTACAGGCGTCAAAGTTCAAAATTGATCACTTCATCCTCTCAAAAAATCTTTACGCACCTTTTATCAGATTGATTAAAAACACTTTAATCAGTAATTTGACAAAATTTCAAAACACTCACGGAATCTCATCAAATAATTTGAATTATCAGACTTAAGAAATGATTCAGCAGTTCACTCAAAAAAACGTTACAATAGCTTTTAGAGGACGACTCTAACACACAACACTCGTTTCGCTTCACTTATTCAGGTAAAAATAATAAGGAAATAAATAATTTAACGTATCTAAGATGAAGGAATCATTTCCAATTTTTCAGTAATTGTAATCGACCAAGGAAAAAACATCTTATAAAACTTCTTTTATATTTTAAACCAAAATGTTTAAAAATTGCCCTAGCCTGTATCTCTGCTAATAATGGTCCAATTTTTTTTTTTTTTTTTTTTTTTGAGAATTTAGTAATCTTTCAGATAATCATGTGTATTATAAACAAAACAATACCTTATGAGTTATTTGCAAATTATTTCATAAGTTTTATCTTGAAATGAACATTATTTCTGGATAGGAGGTATAAAGAAACAGGTTATTTATAAATTAAACTAAAAAATCACCATACCAATGTTGATGAAAATGAAAAGTTATAGTCACCAGGGAGGCCGTTGTGAAGTAGGGCCGGGGATGGTTGCCTGGCTCTCCTCCTGGTTGGGAGCGTGGAGAAATGCTGTTTCCCTCGATTCGGGCCGCCACTTCTTCCGTTGCAAACCTTTCCCCTCTCGTTTGCAGCTGCATTATTGACCTGCGAAAGTGTCTTTTTCTTCTTCATTTTCCCCCGAATCGGAAGGGTTCTTGATTCTCCTCTACCAACTAGCAAGGCTTGCTGGTCATGGCTTGGTTCCCTTCACATCATTAAAGATTATTATTAGCTAATTCTAGTTATAAATTAATAGAAAGAGCTAGTTCTAAATACACATTTTTTAAAATGCATTAAATTTAGGAATTGAATATCAATTTTCTGATTGGTGCATACATTAGGATCTCGCAAATCAGGCCCTTATTTATGAAGTAAGGACTAAAATTGTCGTATTACAGGAATTGCTAGATTAAAGCATCTATATTTAAAAAATTCAACAAACTTATGTGAAAACGTCATATAACTACCTTGAGAGGTTTTTATTACAATTTATGAGTCCCTGTTTATTTGAAAAATACATTCTACATTGAGTAAATAAACATTAACTGACCTCTTAACCATCGTCGTGTGGCCATGATGAAGCGCTACAGCGACTGGGGCCCTGAGGAGGTGGTCCAAGGACTTACTGTGGCGTGCCCCAGGGGCTAGCCCCCAAGTGTTGGCTCCGTTCTGCCTAGCCTCATAATCAGACCACACACCACCTCCTAAATACAAATTAACAATTCATTCAAATATCTCTTTTTAAACAGCAATGTAGAAATCTAAACAAAATTAATATTCTTCATTAACTCTGGAAACATATTTCTGAACTAAACATTGGTCCTTTCTAGTGAAAACTTCATTTGAAACTATTTTATTGAATATATATAACATTCTGGCACAATAAGTACAATAGTTATACAGAGAAAACAGTTTGTAAACATCATATTTAAAAAAAATAAAATAATGACTAGATAATAATTGTGAGATTATTTAATATAAAATATGAATTTGAGATTATGTAACATAAAATACAAAAATGAAATTATAGTTAACATAAAAAGTATAATCACACAGCCAGCGTTAAGTATTGTTAAACCTTCTCAGCCTGTTAAAGTCAAAAACATTATTTAATATTTGTGTGTGAAATATGTTTGACTGTATGATCTGGCAAAACTTCAGTTAATTTTGGAAAAGATGTAATGAGATTTTCATCTTTTATGAACTACTTTTGTTTTAAATAAAATGGAATAGTTCTGCAAAAAGAACGTAGAGAGAATCTGGAAAATGTTGAATGAAATAAAATAAAAGCCTCCTCTTAGTCATAATTATAGAAAATCTGATGTGATTGAAATGAACTAGTTGAGTTTAGGGTTTTCGTGCTTCAGATAACCGGTGTTCAAATAAAATAAAAACAAGCTTAACATAAAAGTCAATAAGTGAAACAAGTTTGAGAGGAGATTTTTACTTATATAGCTAATTAAACTTTAACAGGTCAACATACAAGTCAAGATTCATGCTAACAGTGGACCCTGATAACACAGTAAGCATTTATCACAAGTAGCATGAATATCCCTTAAATATAAATAAAAAGTTGAACCTTCAATTAAGGTCAGCAATTAGTTCAAAAGATATTTGCCAATCAATGTTATAAAAACAAAAAACAAAAAAACAAGATCTGTATTCTTTTCATGTCACGGACTATTCTTACTTTGAGAGGCTGAACTCTGCTTCGACCTAGCTTGTAGTATGGCCGAAATTCCACATGAGCAATCTTCAGGCTGTGCTAACTGGAGTGTACCTGGGTTAGGACCTGTCACTTCAGGTTTCTCTTCCAGGCCGCAACTTGCCAAGAATGGATCTAATAATCAACAATTCAATTAATAATTTTTGATATTGTCATCTCATTTAACCATAATTTTAACGACTTTTCTACATATTCAGAAAAGTTTTTATATTTTTACATATGTCCATCAAGAAACAAAAAAAGATTGAATTAGATTTATTTGATAAACTAAAGCAATGTAAACCGGCTTAATGTAGATCAGTGTAAAAATTTCAATAATTTCTAATATTGCAGATCAAAAACTTTTTGCCATATTTTAATTGTGTCAAACAATAATTTCTGGTAGAAGTAGAGGTAAAGCTTGTGTGATAAAAGCAACAGAGTTTCTTACTTTCACTAAGTTATCTTTTTTCTCTGATTCATCCCTTTCTGGCAACAAGATGTGTACCCGTGATCTTACATTGGAAATCGAATAGCTGTAACTTCGTTAATAGTTGTCCGAAATGAACGATTTTTATATGGGTCATTCTCCCATTACGTACAATTTCCTGTTCCAAAGCGAATGTGGTTTCATCTTAAACATAAAGTAATTGTGATGTAGAGATGGTTGACCGTTGATATAATATGAGAAGGAGTTAGTCGAGGGTGCGGTCAAATAAATAAAAAATTAAAATATATTAATTATTTTAATTTTTTCCGACGTTTCGACCCACTTCGCACGTCGTCTTCAGGGCGTAGGATGTGTTTTTTTCCAGTTTTTCAACTGCCTCCCGCAGTGCCACATCCTACGCCCTGAAGACTATAATTAAAGAAAATAATTAAGAAATAATTAATATATTTTAATTTTTTATTTATTTGACCGCACCCACAACTAACTCCTTCTCATATAAAGTAAAGTAATTGTGATTTAAATAAGATAAAATCAGACATATATGTATCTTGAGTGCCAACAATGCCATTTATATTGACAGAGGGATAGTGCCACAAAGTTTAAACCGGGACAATCAATGGTTTTGAAAACAATTATAATTTGTATATGTATAATTAGTGTAGTTAGTAATTAGTAAATTAGTGTAGCTTACAGTTATTTAATTTTGAATGAGTGTTAAGTTGTCAGAACCCAACCTCAGAATTTATATATCTGAGAAATAAATGGTATAGTGAAAAAGAAACTGGTTGTTTGACTTTGGAGGGAAAGAGATCATTACAATATATATTCTGAAATCTTGAATATCACAAGTAATGGAAGAGATATAGCCAGATTTTATGGAATTCGACATGGCGAGGAAAAGGAATTTTACAACTGGCAACCTGGGAGGTTTGAGGGGGAAGGAGTACGAGCTACTAGAAAAGAAAAATAAGGCAAAGGTTGATCTGCTAGCAATAACTGAGATCAAGAGAAGGGGAAAAGGCGAAGAGAGGATTGGAGATAACATTCTACTGTATTCGGGGACCACTGAAGAAAGAATAGCCAGCAGAGGTGTACGTTTTATGTTTAGGGAAGCCTTAATGAATACAGTGATCAAAGAATGGAAATTCGTGAGCGATAGGTTGATGGTGATTGACATAAAAGATGGAGATGCCTTAAAGACTGTTATTGTGGTCTATGGAGCAAACGATAACGCCATAGCCACAGAGAAGGAAGAATTCTTTGAATGTAATCAGAAAGAAATAGATGATGCGCCTGGAGAACCAATTGTTCTCCATCGGATTTCACAAAACAAGTTCTGGTGTTGCTCTATCCAACACTCTTGAAGTAGAGAAACATTGGAAGAAACATCTGTGCTTCATCCATGCTCACTTCTTGAGCCTATGATTTGTGAACTTGAAGCTCCTATAGACACCCAACCTCAAGGTATCACTGAGGAAACACCAGGTGCTAATCCTTATGGTCAACCAAAGGAGGGGAGTTACATCATTGCACGATTTGATGGTAAAAAAGAGTATCGTTACGTTTGGTGCTTGACAAGTGTGTGCAATAATTAAATAACTGCTCTTGGCCTACATTCCTTTCAAAATTCAAAACAGAAGAATCTTGCGAGTCTTTCCGTTTGAAGCTGTGGAAAAAGAGTGAAATTTAAGTTACCACTATGATTTAATTTTGAAACTAATTATAGGCTATGCTACTAAAAGCCTATAATTAGTTTCAAAATAAAATCACAGTGGTAACATAAATTTTACTCCTTTTCAATTCGAAAAATTAAATTTATATTATAATGTTTCACGATTCCAAATGTTTATTTTATTTACTATTATTGTTCTTCTTTTATGTTTATACATGTGTTGAGTAATATATTTTAATTTACTGATTTGATGATAAAAATATTGTATTAATTAAATATTGAGTGTTTTCTATTTTCCTCACTCTCATGATTTCAATCATGGTCCTAAATGTGGATATAGACTTCATTCTATGAAGGGATTTTTTGTTAGTGCCATTAGTAAACTATTGTTAAGTTGTTTATGAAAACAAAATTTGTTTACATTACTTTTTTCTAATAGAATCACAGTTCCGAAATTCCATCAAAATGAGAGAATGACCCATATAATTTTGTAGGAAATTTCATTAATTTTTAAAAAAACGTGCTAAACAGTGTTTTTCCGGACTCAGAGGGCTCTGAAACGTATAGTTCCGTCGAAAACCGCATATTGGAAATTTGACCCGATCACAATACTTTCCTTACCTAATATAGGTAGGAAAGTAATAAATTAAAAATGTGTAGAAAATAGAATACGCTGTGTCATCGCTAGTACTGATTTGATTCTGATGATTTTTTTCTGTTTTGTTGGTAATTTAATTACGTTTCAAAAGTTTTATTATAACTTTTACCTTAGAATATATACTTAGCTAGTTAGGCCCCAAAATATTTTTTCTTCCTTATAACTTTTTTTCCTGAATTTAGACCATGTACAAAAATTGATAGGATAATTATTAGTAAATTATAGGAAAGTTTCATCAAAATCGTTAGAGCCGTTTTCGTGCTACATTCTATAGAAAATCATGTTTTTCATTTATTGCACAGCAGCTATTGCGATGGAGCACTCAATTTGTGTCACAGGCATCAATAGTCAAAACCCTAAAAAATTAAAAAAGAAACAACAAAATCGGTTCAGTAGTTCCCGAGAAAATCTTGGCAGACAGAGGAATGGCTAAAAATGTGTTTTTCGGACTCAGGAGGCTCTGAAACGTATAGATCCGTCGAAAACCGCATATCGGAAATCTGACCCGATCACAATATTTTCCTTACCTAGTATAGGTAGGAAAGTAAAAACTGCTGTGTGTGCTTTAAACCACATGACAGAAGTGAAAACGTCAATAAGGCGAGATTAATGATATGGAATATAAATTTGTTTTTGTTCTATATTCACAGAGAAATAATAGTAATATCTTTTTCCCTATCCGACTCTCTTACTCGGCATCACGTCAAAATAAATTTTTGATTTATAGTTCATTACAAAGAAGATGAAATCCTCAACACTTCCCTCGCTCACAGTATGCAGGTATGAGCTTTAGTTCCTGAGATATTTGAATCCATATGTTCAACTAAACTCGATATCATTTGGTTTTCGACACTACCTTTTTTCCTTCAAGACTCTTTAACACGACATCGCGTTTTGATACAATTTTGGATAACATCTCATTATAAAGAGGATGAAATGCTGATTATTTCCCTTGCTTACAGTATGCAGGTCCAATTTTTAGTTTCTAAGAAAAAAAAATCCATATCTTCAGTAAAACTCATTAACATTTGGTTTTCGACACTATTTTTTTTTCCTTTTCGACTCTCTAGCATGGCGTCTCATTAGGATAAAATTTTGAATAATAGCTCATTACTAAGAGGATGAAATGATGGATATTTTCCTTGCTTACAATATACATATCTATAAGTTTTAGTTTCTGAGATATTTTAATCCATATGCAAAAACATTTCAATTAGTCGAAAGCGTTACACATCTGGAGATCTGACGGCTAAATCTAATTCACTCTCAACAAAAATTGTTCGCTTCAAATAATATCTATCTGACTACTGTACCTGAACCAGCTTTTCGTGCTGCTGATCGCCTTCTAGCGAACTCAGCAACATCTTGGTACTGGTCTTCAAAGATTACCGGAAGAGTGTTAACATCACCATCGAGCTGAGGGCAGTGCACTGGGAGTTGAGGAAGTAAACTGAGGTATCTAGAAGAATACACACAGTTTTTGAAACTAAAAATACAACAAATTATGAATTTGATAAAAATATGTCATGATGTAATCAACTTTTAGTAAACAAACTTGGATCTCAAATACAAAAAATATCTGTATAACTATATAAATGTTTTAAAAATGACATAAAATGTTTTTAACTTGGAGTGTATTCAACTAATAGTTATTCATATTTCTCTAGAAACATGAGTGACTGATAAAACCTATTGTGATAAATATATAACTCATAAGTTGGGTTACTATTAATTTATGATGTCCTTTGACTTATCCAAAATAAAGATAAGATATTGTGATATTTAATTTTTATTATCAAATATATAATTGAGAAAGGAATAAAGTTGGTAGAATCAGTAGAACAAGTGATGAACAGTGATAGCTTATGTTTTAGTTACAAGTTATAGATAAACGTCAAAGTGTAATACTCTTATTTTTCTTTTAGTATAACACACAATTAACCAGTTACCAATTGGGTGGTTACCAAACAGTTGAAATAGAATTCCCTGACATTTCCCTATTCAATGGTAGTTTTCCCTGACCAATATGTCTGGCGACACAAATATTAAAAATTTATAATTTATAACTAAATTTATTTATTATAAATGAAAGAAATTTGACTACAAAATGATAAGATTAAAAAAAAAAATCAGTCTTTTAAATAACAATCTACCCGTGACAAAATCAGTTCTTCTCAATATTCCGCTATCAGAGTTAAGACAGATTTTACTCGAAAAGACTAACGAATATTTAAAATCAATTCGGTCCATTTGATGAACCTCAAACTAATATTTTGTAACGATCGATACAAAGATTCTGCTCCCGACACAGTACTGTTTATTTGCTGTGAGGCTACCAGCATTCTCTTTCAGTTAAACAACAAATGGAATTAAGTTTAGCCAACAGTTCATGAGAATTATCATGACGCCGACTTATTCAAAGCGGTGAAACACATTTCAAGATCGAAAAATTATCTAATGGGCGGACATTTATCCATAGACAAAATTACCGTTAAGAAGCTCATTACTTTATAAAAAGAAATAAATATGCCCATAGATGTATATATTACAAATAATAAACAGTACTGGTATGTTTTTCTTTTCAAAAAAGCACAGTTTTAAGACAATTTTGCTTAAATTGAATTCATTACCCTGGTTTGATTTTAATATAACAACCAGTGGTGTTATTGATAGTCAAAGGTAGATCGGCGAAGTTTACCTCTTCAAGGTCATTTAAACAAGCCAAGTAGATAAACGATATCCATTGTATATTTATTTCCAATTTGAAAATTTATGTACTAAAAAATTCCTCTGACTTTTCCCATTGTTCAAGGTCAGTCCTAACCTCATTAAGACTAATAACTTAATAAAATGGCCTAATCTTTTATTTATTTATATATATATATATATATATATATAAAAATGAATGTGTCTGTTTGTCCTTTATACATTACTAAACCATTCGTCCGATTGCCATGAAACTTTGGGAAGTTGTTGCTGTAAATAACTTACTGAAAGTTAAATGTAAAATAAAGATGTTTTGGCGGGAATAGCGAATAGCCTTCCGCTTTTATATCGGGGATTAAGGTTATTTACACTCGTGAATTATTAAAACAAAACCCCGGCACTGGATATTGACTTTTGACGGTGTTTAACTGTTGTTGGGAATCTAATACTTTTGTGACACTGTGTGAGAAGAAACAATAAGAATATATATATGAAATGTGGGAATTAGTAAACACTTTGAATGAATTGACTCACCTGGTTTATTCTTCAATTCTGAGGCATAAAGGACAACTAAATAAAATGACTATTCACTCCTGTCTAATAAAACAAATTTATTTTAACAACTGATAATGGATATATATAAATGAACGGTCGGCTTGATATTCTTGGTCTTCAATGTAGTAAGCCTCTCTTCCCAGATGAGTCTTCTCTTGTCCCTGTCCAGACCTCAAGTGTTTGGCGTCCTCTTCACCATCTGTTGCCAGCTACCTGATTGGACCTTTTTTCTTCTTTTCGATTGTTTATCGATATGAGATTTTCCAATGAGCAATTTGTCCACTGCACAATTGAGTACAATTCACAGTGCAACCTCACATTCCTATATATTATATATTCCTTCTCATTCCCTCACACAATGTCGTCTAAAGGAGTAAATAATACATTGAGTCTACTACTTTGCGTACATTCCCGTGAAGGTTTCCGTGGCATAGTACATCTGCCCTACGATAATTTTATATGTGTAAAAACAATATTGCTATAGACTGTCAACGGCTGTCACGATATTAACAAAACAAGTCTTCCCCATGAAACCCTTTTAATTTATGTGTATAATATACTTTCCCGAAAACAAGCTGCAAAAAATGTTACGATAAATTCAAAATTTTATTTGCCAATAACTAAAAAAGCATACATTTTATAATTTTCGATTGATAATACCCATATTTATTTGAAAGCTTTCTGAATTCTCTACAAATTAATCATCATCAAAATCGGATGAATCATTGCAGAGATATTGAGTTTTGAACATTTACTACTGTTTCTTCGACAGAGGCCATTCTCCCTCCCTTTTTTTGGGTTATTGATTAATCAAAACTTTAATAATTACTGAAGTAACTAAGATTATCATTTGAAGAAGTGGTATGATTCACCTTATGTAGGGCAATATTATCATACATTCTTTAAATTCAAATTTATATTTTCTCCCAATGTATTTGGGAAGTAGTATGATACATCTCAAATATGTGGTATGCTTTTATTTATAAACAGTTCACCCTTGAGTAATAATTATCACCATTCATGTTCATGATTCCTTTTAGAAATCAGTTTTACATCGATTTCAGTTTATTTTAGTTTTTAATAAATTATTTTCTGTAACATTACATTTGAATAAGGCTGTGTCGTTTGCTGTAAGGTTTATTTTTCCACTACAATTTTTATAATTTTATATTTAATCAAGTTATTGCTAAGAAGAAGCGGGCAATTTGGTAAATCTTTATGATAAAAATTTATTTTCCCAAAGAATTGTCTTATATTTTTTTTTATTTTTAGGCTTTATAAACTCCTTAATTGACTTCAAATTATCATGGTGAGGTCTGACCGTGTTATTCTCCAATATGTGCCCTAAATATTTAACTGAGTTCTGTGCAAAGTTACATTTCTGTAGTTTTAATTTGAATCCTGCTCGTTGAACAGCCTTCATCAATTTTTCTAAATGTTGTAAATGATCTTCAAAAGTTTTGGAAAATAATAAAATATCATCTATAAAATTCATGCAATTATATTTGTCAATACTCTCTGAAAAATTGCTAGTGAAGTTTTGAGACCAAATGGTAAACATGTCCTAATGATGTAGAGATGGTTGACCGTTGAGTTATAATATGAGGAGTTAATCGGGGGGTTCGGTCAAATAAATACTAAATTAAACAGATAGTAATTATTTAATTTTTGCTGACATTTCGATCCACTTTGCAAGTCGTCGGCAAAAATTAAATAATTACTATCTGTTTAATTTAGTATTTATTTGATCCCCTCTCCTCCCCCCCCCCCCGATTAACTCCTTCTCATGGTAAACATGTCCATTGAAAATGTTCAGTCTGTGTGACAAAGACAGTTTTATACCTGTCCTTTTCTCTTATAGGTAATGCCCAGAAAGCGGAATTGATATCCAGAACAGAAAACCATTTAACATCGTACTTGTTCATGGCGAAAACTGAGTGCTTCTTTATTATTTTTGCCAATTCTTCTTTCTTTTATTTATCTAAATGTTGTAATGTATCATTAATATTAATATTTTCAATAAAATTTAAAATTTGAGTATTATCTTCTTTAATATCTCTTCCTCCAACAATATTTTTATTTCTAGGAAGTATTTCTATTATGTCATTATCGAGACATTGAAAAATGTTCAATTGACCGTCTTGATAGAGATGGAATTTTTGAATCACATCTAATCCAAGTAAAAGATCATATGAGAAATTATTGTTTTTAATTACACATTGCTTCTATTTCTTTTTCAATGTTATGAATTTTTAGAATTGGCTTTATTTTATTATGGCTTACTTCTACACCACTAATTGTTTTAAATAATTGCCCATTTTTGACTAGGTTATTTTTAACATTTTCTAGGAGTTTTGACCAATTTTAACCAAGGTCAAATATAATCCTATGTCATACACTCCTGTAATTACTTTATTTTTGTTAAGAATAACCTTTAACGAATTAGTGGTGTCACATCTAGTTTTTTTTTCTTTAGTCTCACCATTGTCCGTTGAATTTACTCTTCTTGGTTCTTAATTATTAAGTGTATAGTGTCATGTTTCATTGTACTTAAAAACTATAAAAACTGATTTATAATCTTTTTAGTGTTAACAGTAGATAAACTATAGACTGCTTTTGCTTCTATAAAACAAGATTATAAATCAGTTTTTATAGTTTTTAAGTACAACGAAACACGACACTAAATACTTAATAATTTGAAACAATTGCAAACTGCACCACACGGTTATCCCTATTCACCATCATTTGTTAAATGCATGAATTAAATAATTAACTCAAAGGTGGGGATTCGTTTTGTCTTATATTTTATAATAGTAGGTATATAAAACTATGCGGGTATTTGAATACAACGTTAAGCCAAAATTTCAAGGCAATCAGTGAAGAACTTTCCGAGATTTAAGATTTTGAACAAACGAACATTTTTCATTTTTATTTACCATCAAATAACCAAGGTTGAACATAAAACAATGCATTAAATTTAAAAATTATTAATAACAAAATTAAACATGAAAATGATGTAGAGATGGTTGACCGTTGATATAATATGAGAAGGAGTTAGTCGAGGGTGCGGTCAAATAAATAAAAAAAATTAAAATATATAAGGGGGGGTTAATGGGTAGGGTAACGGGAGGTCTAGAGAGGGAGATAGGTGCGGGATTCTCCCCAACTCTTTGCGGAATGATCGAGTGTAGTGCCCTA